CACGCTGCAGGGGCTCAGCCCGGCGGGTAGGCAACTCGCCCCCGCGGCTGCTCGATGGGACTACCGACCCAGCGGTGGCTACCATACCAAGGGCTTACTCAAATTAGAATATAGCAGCTTGTATTATTGACATTCTCGTGATTGGTTGATATGAACTTCCTGTTGCCGCAATCGCCCACTTAGTCTCGTAATATGACAGGTGGTGCTACAGGTGTGGAGGGAAGAGAGGCGGCCCTCGCCTACGGACACGAGTGCCCCGCCGTGCTCGTAGACGCCCTCGCCCTCTGGTCTTCCTCCGAATCAAAATGCAACAGCCATCTGTCACCCAACAGGGTCACGTGACGTTACACTCGTTTTCTAAAAATTCAGAATAATGTCGGATCATTCTTCTCAAGGAATGGAAAGGTACCTTTGAGTGTTGTTCTGAATTTCTGAGGTATCTCCTCGACAAAAATATTTGGCTGGGGTGAGATGGCACAAGTCTGCGACTCACCCCAGCCCCCAAATCGGGGCGAGTTAGCCTCGGGGCGACTTGTACAATGGAGCGACTTAGATGGGGCGAGTTGTCCATCTCTCTTTGTTACATCTCATCTAAACCTGTGTCGCTTTTCATCGACTGATCAAAAGTTTAGTTTAACGTCTCTCTAGCCGCAACGCTGAAGCAAGACTTGCTGGGTGGTGTATGACTTTGGCAATCTTCTCGTTAGTCCATTGTACTTCATAGTTTTGCTTTGTGTAATATTTTTATTTCACCGACTTGTAGTCACATTTTAAATTTAAACACAATTTCTCATTGAGATTCCAGTGAGTGTCGCCAATGGCCTGCACGCAGAAAAAACTTCTTCGCTCTGCTAAGTTTTTAGCACCGGGGCTCTAAAAAATTAACGGAATAGACTGGGCTAATTTATTTAGCACCAGGGCTAATTTTTTAGCCATCTAGTAAACCGCACTGCTTATTGACCATGTAGCTAATGCAACTTCGCTCTACAGCTAAATATTTTTACATCCAGCTAATTTTTTTGCACGGGTGAAAAATTGTGCAGTTAAAACCGATTTACATGGAACTGAATTTTATTTTTCTGCGTGTGGAGTTTTCCCTCATTGCAGAGCGCTCGCGGACGCAACTGCGACGAGGAGCAGCCAGGCGCTGGTCGCGGCGGCTGCGGATGACGGCATGTCCACGACCGGGACGGCCCGCCGGTCTGCCATCTCGATCCAGAAGGACGATGACTCCTTAAGGCTGCGGTTGTAGCTGCCACCTTGGTAGTCGACGTGGATCAGGCCGAACGGGCGGCTGCAACATGTGGGCGCCGTCGGTAATTGCATCCCTTGAAACGTTTCTTAAGTCTGTCTCAGCTAAATATTTATTACATTATTACATTTGATAGTTTAAAAGGGTGCTTGTAAGTTGCAATTTTATAACTCTCCCCTCTCCCTTACCCCTCTCTCCATGAGCTTTGACCTGGGGACCTTTGACTTACCCGTAAGCCGGACGCCACTCGAAGCTGTCGATCAGACTCCAGGCGCAGTACGCGATGACGCGCACGCCAAACTCCTTCATTGACGACACCAAAGACCGCAGAAAAACCTGTAAAAACATCCAATTTTGGTCACATTATTCTGTGTTTGCTAAACTTCTCAACAAGTGATCCTTCCGTGTGTGTGCCTCCGCTGTTGCGTATTATTTTATTAGCAGTCGTGAAGAGAATTGTTCATATTTGCAGATTGTTTTTCACATTTGTTCATACTTGCGTTATTTGAAATAATTCACGCAACACCGCGAGACGGTGGGCACACAGAAATAATACACTAGGTACAAGGTGGGTGTATTAAAAAAAAAAAAAAAAACACACACTCACACACACTCAAAAAAACAAAACAATTTAGTGTGTATAGAATTACACTGATAAACTAAGTGTGCAACTGCTCAGCACTTGTATCTGCAAGTTGAATACTTGCAAGTGTGCAACTCCGTAGTCGTATACTTTGCAAGTATTTAACTCGGTAGATGTGCACTTGCAAGTGTGCAACTCCTCGGTTGAACACTTCCTTAGATTGAACGCTCACTGCTGTGTAGGAAGTGCTCAACCGAGGAGTTGCACACGTGCAAATGCAAGTGTATGGCTACGGAGTTGCACACTTCCAAGTGTTGAGCAGCTGCACGCTTAGTTTATCATTGTAAACATTAGCACAAACGGCTTTAAATACAATTAACTGTCACAAGAAGGTACACAAACACTTGTCAGTACTCACGCTGTGGTACACGGCACGCATGTGATCCTCAACCCCCGTCATATTCTTGTCGCCGATCCCGTTCTCCGTAATGACAACGGGTTTCTTGTAGTTAAACCAAACCCAAGTCAGGGCACTCCGCATAGAATCGGGTGCGATCTGTATTGAAAACGTCTTGTGAGTTCAGGACAGAAAAGTATAATATGAAACACGGATTTTAAATGGCATGTTTCAGCGGGAAATACCATGTTGAGAGGATAGTCGCCGATGGTGCCACCCTGAGGGTCGCGGTAGCCGACATTGACGAAGTTAAGTTGGTCCAAGAGCTGCGCGCAAGGCATGATGACGGGCATCCTAGTGGTGCTTGGGTCCCGGTACGACACCATCATGCCGAAGTACAGGTTCAGACCAATGTAGTCGGTCGAGTCTGAAAAGCACGCGTATGTTCACAAGACTGTAAGATCAGCATCATCTGTGACGACAACAAGCACTGCTATGGGAAAGCGCCCGAGCTTGTGATTGCCTTTCTGTTTTTGCTGTCACGAACGCCTAACTGGTACAGATTTTCAATTTAAAGCAATCGCTGCACTCACCGGTCAGCATGGCCTTCTCCTCTTCCGTGAACACGGGCAGTTTGTCCTTGGCGAGCTCCTTGACGATGGGCGGGTAGTCGCCAAACACCAGGGGGTGCAGCATTAAGCCCGCGTAGAACTGGTTGAAGGCCTCGGAGGCGTACGCGTCCTCGGCTCGCGTCGAGTTGGGCCGCGAAATGTAGCTGGCCACAGACATGCCGATCGTCCCTGCAAATGATACCAGACAGTCACGTGAGACGTGCGCGAATCCAGCGATAGCCTGGCGAGGTTGAGCCAGCTCTGCTCTGCTACGCGTACCCTCGTGGCCACTTTCTGTGAGCGCCTTGCGAGCCTCGCCGTGCCCGAGGATAAAGTTGTGCATGCAGGAGTAGAGATCCACCTCTTCGGGCCGCAGCACCTCGGCTGTGACCATCTCCTTCATCCAAAACGAGCAGTGCAAGTTGGGCTCGTTCATCGAAGTCCACATCTTGACCTAAAGCAATATGGTTAAACAAAAATGATTTTGTTTCAGTTCGCTTCCCTAAAACAATAACAATATTTAACGCATATTACCTACCTTGTGTCCATACTCTTTGATGAGAAATGAAGCGTACTCGCGGAACTTGACGACCATCTTCTTGTTCAGCCACCCCTTAAATTCTTCTTCTAAAATTTGGGGGTGGTCGAAGTGGTACATGGTTACCTTAGGATAAATGTTTATAGTCAGATAGAGTGAAAGAAATACATGCAGAGCATATGGCTGAAAGTTCCAGTAGGTTTGAAGTAGTTCAACGAACCAGGGGGGTAATGTTGTGCGCGCGGATCTCGTCAATGAGGTTGTGGTAAAACTGCACGCCTTTCGCGTTGGGCTTTGTAGCATCTGCTTCGGGCAGAACCCGCGCCCACGAAATCGAAAACCGGTACACTTGTAGCTGCGTTAAAAACATGGCCGTGAGTTTGTGTGAAATAGGAAAGCATGCTGGTTTTCTTGTTGCCAGTGTACTCACCTTCAACTTCGCGGCCATCGCGACGTCGTCCTTGTAGCGATGGTAAGAGTCCGCGCCTCTGTCGTGGAGGTGCGGAGCCGAAAAGCCGTCCGGGCCGAGCTTGCCAGAGTGTAAAAGGTAGTCGACCATGCTCTCTCCTTTGCCTGAGAATAGTTTGTTTCTGTTTTAGTATTTTGCGCGACGCCGTGTTCGTTGTGCTCGAAGGTGTCCTGAGGACACTGTCCTCTCACCATCCTCGTCCCAGGCGCCCTCCGTCTGGATGGCCGCCGTCCCCGCGCCTATGAGGAGCTCGTCGGGTAAAGCGTAATCATCTTGGGGTCCCCGGGCTGGCGACCCGCGCGCCAGTGAGCACACGGCGACAAGGACGGCGACGAGGTACAAGGGAGTCATGCTGCGAAAAAGTGACCAGTACTGTTGGTTAAATGGTTTTGTGTCATAGTTAGTGTTCGTAGCCGTCGGTCGAGGGGACCTCAACCTTATTGTAGAGAGGACACCAGATTATCAAGATTGCAAGATTGATAGACGAATATCTTGCTTTGGGGGGGG